GTACTGGTGTTTCCCCATGTAAATATGACAGAGTGCATGTACGCCTTTTTGGCGTTTCTAGTTTTTAACTCTTGTCTCCTTAAATTTAACACTGAATTGGTTTGGTAGCTAGAAACAGTGGGCTGCAGTCTCTGGATATGCTCTGAAAGATAGGGTTTTTTTTAATTTATTTTAGTCACTTTGTCTGGGGTAGGGGTATTTTGCATCGTACCTGTAGGCCTAGGAAGGAATGCTGTTATGTAAAACAGCTAGTAGGAGACTCCCTAATCCTCCTCCAATATCCGTATTAAGGGAGACATCCGCTTTACCGCACATGCGGTATTGAGTTAGAAATCCAGCCTGATGTATCATCCTGCTTTTCTAAATGCTGCTCAGATAGTGTTCAGTCTCACCTGAACTAGATACTTGGGTATTTAAGAGCTTTTTATCAAAACATTTCTTAGAAGCTCCTGCATTCTGGGGAGCAAACTGAAATTTTTCAGTTGCCCTAGTGACTGATGATATACGATGATGGAACAAAATGCTGGGTAGCTTGTCTTTTAACAATTATGTTGTATCAACTAAACTTTTTTGAATTAAGTCTTTCAGTTTAAATGATCAAATCCTTAGAGTGCAGATGTGACAGCTGTGTTACACCTAATACAGGATAAAATGCTGTAGAAAACCTGAAATGGTACATTTTTAACTTGTGAGACACATCACTGATGGTGGTCTTTCCTATGAGGTCACCTCTCCTAGGGTTTACAGTGCAATAATATGCAAGTTAATGTAGGTGAAACTCTATTGTTGCCTTTGCGCACAGTTTTCCCTCAAAGTGCAATATTATCCAGGCGTTGTCCTGCTTTTCGACACAAATTTACTTTGTTACACAGATTTTTAAAGCATTTTTTCAGGGTCACGCTTGCTGTCAGGACCTAAAGGGTTACCCAGCCTGCAGGTATATAGAGATTGTGACTATGGGTTGGTAGGATTCCGTAACATACAAGGACACAGAGGTTTTTGTTACTCTAAATTTCTTTACTTTATAGATTTCCACAAACATCACTAAAATCACCACTAGCAGCTATACCTGTGATTGATAAAGTGAATATATATGAATGAAAATATATATATGCACATATATATAAAGCTGTTAGAAATTATTAGCAGCAGTCAATAGTATGGCAGCAACCGAGTAGGTGCATATTATTACAGGTTACTACAAACTTATAAGTAGTGAAGCAAACTTACTGATAATGTAGCAGCAGAAATACTTATGATAGATTACTTATAGGAACATATATGTGTATATTCATAATAATACCAGTATCAAGCTCATTAGACAGATCTCACAAGGTGCCAAATCCTCCCAGAGGGGAGAACAAACCAATCCCAGAGGGGGACCCAACCATCCTAGAAGCTGGAGGACAAACCAAGCCCTCCCTGGCGAAGGTCCAAGATCTCTTAGAAAGTTTGTGTGGAGACTCCTACCTATTTAGGAAAGGAGAACAGCATGCTGCATGGGAAGTTCTCAGAGAGAGAAGCTTTATTTTGGATAAAAAATAAGTCATTTTTATATGATAGAGAAATAAGAAGATGCAGGATGCCATCACTTCAGCAGCTGTTAATTAAATGCTGTTAATTTCTATTTTTCATCCAGAATAGCCAATAGATGTTGATGTTTTCTGTTCTCACAGGCCAGGTTTTACTTTTCCAGACTGTTTTCCTGTTCTTGCAGATAGAACAGCCAGAGGCAGTTACCAGTTCTTACTTTCTCAGGATGTTTTCCTCTTTTCCCACACTGTTTTTCACCTTTTCAGATGGTTAGTTGCTGTTACAGTTCCTTGTTTTTACACTTATCAATGGTATCTCAGGATGTCTCTGGTTTCTAGGTACCGAACTGTGTACATCTAAGAGACCAGCTGCACTTCTCAGGGATTCCTCTGGTTCCCAGGCTTGGTTCCCAGGCTGGCAGGCATTTTCAGTTGTCATTTCAGCAGACGTTTTCTTCTGTTCAGTAATTTTCCCTTTCTAACCACATCACCTTTATGGCTGCTCACATCACCTGCGTGTCCAGTTAAGACGTGCACTGAGCCTCTTGTAATATTTTAAAGTTTCTTGCCCAGCGGGACATTGGGAGCTGAGATTGATGTACCTGGGAGGAAAATTACAGAAGCTGATTAATCTTGATCCTGAAGCTTGACCTTTTATATTTTACCCTTTTGTGTGGGTGTGGAGGGGGGAGGATGTTTGAATTTTGACTATCTGAAGAAAAAATCCAAGGAGCCCTCTGTTCTCATTGTCAAGGAGGATACTCCTCCGTAAAGCTCAGTAGATAGATGTGATGGTGAAATGTTCTTACAGGCTCTTCTCAAGGGTCCATGACCTCTGCTCTTTGTATCCAACTTCACTCGTTCTGCAGGAGGACCCCTCAGGACTAGAGAAACCTCCTCTGTGAGTTCAGTTCAGCTTGGCCAAATTGTAGATTATTTCAGGGGAGAAAGCAAGGAAGAACACTTCTCTTTCCCCCCCTGCGCCCCCTGCCCTGTGGTTTCTGTTGCTTAGCAAACATAAAGTATTTAACCAAACACAGAGGTTTTACAGTGCCAGACCACACTGCTGCCAAAGTAGCAACAAATGCTGCCGTAAAAAGTTGCAGGGGCTAGAACAGTTGTAGTGGGCTGGATTTAAATTGCAAAGTCATGTACTTGAAAGTTAGGAAATGCCATGAAACGTGAAGTTATGACAATTCTTAATGATGAGATGCTGTATTTTTTGTTTTGTTTTATAGGAGTTCTGCCTCGTTCGTTGTGTACCCTTTAACTCTGTCTCGTTGTGTACAGAAATTCTGCATCTCTAGCACTGCTTGTCCTCTTGGTAGTCAAGTTTCTGGGGGTTTTGTTTTGTTTTTAATAGAACAAGATGTAGCACAATCAGAACAACTGGAATTAAGGACACTGGAAGATCTGAGTAGATTTTCAAGGGCACTGAAGTTAATTTACACTACTTGTGGTTTTCTTATGTACACAAAATGCATAGTCATTTCCTCTTAAAAAAAAAAAAAAGATGTGCATAACGAAGAATATTTTCCCTTTAACGGTCTTGAGAAGATAACATCCCTATCAAGCTTTGGAACTTTTTGTGGTGTCTTCATGATATTGCACAAGGTCCAGGGCATTTGAAGTGCAACAGATGTTTCCCCTCAGCTGTGTGCACGCTCTTGTTCTGGAACAAGGCGAGCCCGTGAAAGTAGGGTAAGCTAATTATAAACGTAGTTTCTTGTTGGATTTAAAATTCCTTGTGGACACATAATTAGGAACAGCTCCATGTACAGATATGCCTTTATGTCCATATCTTTCCATTTATTTACAGGAGAGACAATACCTGCTGCAACAGTGAAAGTTCCTTACGTTACCCTTGGGAATAAATTTCTGGTTTAGTTGCTGGAGGACAACTTGGTTTGTGTGCTCCAACTCTTCTTTCTGAGGTCACTAATGTAGCAGCAGTGCTGAGATGACAGCACTCCTTTCAGTTTGGTGGTGTTCAACCTGTAGCCTCACAGTGGAAGCCGTCATGTTGTAATGTCCTCTCAATTTGTGTATCTTTTTCCTGTCTCTCCTAATTCTGTGCTCTAAACCTCTTAATGCTGCAGGAATACAGATAATCTACCACCACCTAACTTGCACAGTGGATAAAATGATCGGAGATGCTGCACAAGGGCCTCCTGCAGAGAGGAGAGATTTTATCAGTTCTTCTGAATATTTGCACTAGGGCTTCTCAAAAGAGATAATGATTGGAGTCAGAGAGGCTCAGATATCAAAATTACCTGATTATCAAAGATTCACAGCGCAATATGTGAAAAGAAACAGAAGAAGTTGCTGAAGGGTAGAACGTGATGTACGAATCTTGTAAAACGACATAAAGTCTGAACCCCTGCGTCTGTGTTGATAGTGGAATTAGCAAGTACTTTCTGTTCTGGTTTAGCAAGTTTGCTTTAAACTTGAAATACACCTGCTGTTCTACTATTTATTGTTGAGATTGAGCTTAAAAAACAGCTCAGAGACTAAAATGCAGAGAAATTCTTTTGTTTAAAAAGAAAGGAAAAAAAAAAAGAAAGAGAGATTCCCAATCTTTTTCTGTCATGTCTCTTGTATGCCTATCTGGGAAAAGTGATCAGTGTAGTGTCGCCCTTGTAGCTGTAGAGTAAAATAAGGACACGAACAACGTTACTGCCAGTGACAAAAAAGCAAGGCTAATTAGCCACAAAAAAGAGCCTTATGCATAGTTGATACTAAGTTCTCATGAAAAAAGTTGTGAGAGTGTATATATGTTTGTATAAGTAAATATTTGTGTGTGTGTATATATTTACATAGAAATTATTACATGGAAGTTAGTAGGGCACACTGTAACCTCAGAAAAGAGTAAAAATCAGAACTTAGTTCCTCATCTCATAACCCCTTCTTAAAAACTGTGTCCATGATGATGATGCTCAGGTCCATGATGGGGCTGTCTCACTTACATAAAAATACAAGAGTGCCGGAAGTTGATGGATAGAGGGTTATATGGCATCATATAATTTTATGTGAGTATATGTTTGTTTTTTTTCTACTCATAGACACTGGAGGAAGAAAACAGATAGTGTCTTTTTTTTCTTGTTATGACCACTGGATTTAGCAATAGACATTGCTGATTATTTCTTTGGGGAATGAAGGTTACATCATATTGTATTTAGATAGCTTGTGCCAAGGGCTTATTTTTGATACATTGTGTCTTGAAAATAAAACTTTAAAGTTGTTTTTCTCCTTGCGTTAACAATTATAACTAAACGTTTTCTATATGATACAGTTGTGTGCTTTTTATGAAGTCTTTCTAGCCCTTGATTACTTGCTTTTTCCGGTGAATATATTTGGTATAGCACACATAAAAAAACCCCACCATCTAATCTGTCATAATTAGGTTTTAATTTTCTTATACAAATACTTTAGGGTAACTGAATCTTTTTTTTCTCCCTTAATGAACAGAGGAGGAGCTCAGGAAGCTGAGAGAAGAAACAAACGCTGAAACATTAAGGCAGGAGCTGGAAAAGGAACGGCAGAGGAGATTAGAACTAGAACAAAAAGTCAATGAAGTACTTAAAGCAAGGTAAGAGAAATATCTAAAGCAAGGTAAGAGAAATATCTTCACTGTAAAGCCGAAAGCCACTTGAGATCTCTGACTGTCTCTGAGGAGTTCTGGCGAAAGCATCCGTTTCCAGTCTAGGCTCTCTTAAAATAAATTAGTAGTTCACAGAGAGAGAAGCTGTCTTCTGTGTTTTCCTGTAAAAGTACATCTTGTACACCCACGTACGCCTGAATTATTTGGCCATGCATACTGCCCTGGCTACAGAGTTGTCCTGACATTTCTCTTGTGGGGGTATTCTTCATTTCACCTTCTCTGATGCCCTCCCTCTGCAATTTCACCTACCTGAAGCTATGAGTGTGCACTGTGTGTTATTGAATGCCAGAGCCTTTGCCATGCCATTGCATATGCTTTGTCTCTCCAAAACTTCTGTCATCTGCAGACTGCCCAGTCCTTGTTATTCCTGTTCTACGAGCAGCAAAGACATCCCAGTACCACCACACAACCCTAAACGTGTGAGAGTGACTGGAGTTTGAGCCTTCCTTGCTGCTGCAGTGACAAATGGAAACATACCTCCTTATACCCTTTAGTCCTTTCAGCCTTGAGGACACCCACCTTGATGATGAAAAGCATTTGATATTGTCTCTCCTTAGCCTGCCTAGCTGCATGGACTTCAGATCTTAAGACCGTAGCAGCTACTTGGTGGCCTTGTTGGTCTAGACCACTTGCATATGTAGCTGCCTATGTTATCTTCCTCAGCAGTAGCCAAGATTACTTGGCTGACTAGTAGGATTCGTGGTTCACCAACAACTACTGTCAGGAGTTAGTGCAGGCTGAGGTGATAATCATGTGCAATAAGCATTGCCAGTTACTTATAGGTGACAAGCAAGAACAAACTGGCAAAAGTTTTTGCTTGGATATGAAGTTTCCCAAAGCCATACAAGCTCTTCCCAGCCTGGTGCTTCCTTCTATACTCATGCTAGGTGTAAAAATGCCTTTCTGATCAGGCAGTGGTCTCTGTCCCCTGGTATTATGTAGCAATGGGAATAGGAGCTGTTTATAAGAAGCATGTGAGCCTAGTTGCTTTCTGTGATCTGTTTACCTTCTGCTCCTATAGCATCCACAAACACTGTATTAGGGGTATCAGAACGTACATTGCTGCCTTTTCACTTTAGTATCTGCAGCAGACCTGTTATCTATAAATTTGTTTGACCCTCTTTTGAAAGAGCTGGTGCTATCTACCACTGGAAGGAGGTAGAGGCAGTACCTTCTGCCTGGAAGGAGAGGAGGCAGTACATTACAGAAGTCCACTCTTGACTCTAAACAAGAAAGTTATTTTCTTTCTTTTTTAACAGATTTCTTGGGGATTTCAGGAAGTGTCCCATAGTTACCGAATTGTGAGATTTGGTGAATAACTGTTCAGCATTCAGCTTATTAACCGCCCTAGATCAGGCCTTTCCTTTCTTACACTTCTCTCCAGACTGAAGAATTCCACCTTTTCCAGTGTCTCCTTAAGAGTACTTCATCCCTTTCATCGCTTCGGTTGCTGTTCTTTAACTATTATGTCTTTAGATGAAGAGCTTGAGTTCATCCAGTATTCAAAGCGTAGTTTGCCAAGGCTTTATATAGAAGATAAATCGGGCCTTCCCTCTTGTCCTCAGTACTCAGTACAGTGATTTGTGGTTTTTTTTGGCTGATGTTTCACACTGACAGTTTTCCAGTATCACTGGTTCCCTGCAAGGTTGGTCCACATGCAGTCTTGACCTGAGCTGCCAAGTTGCACGTTTGGAAGGGGCTCTGTGAGGTCCTTGTGGAGGAGGCTTGTTCCCAAGCCAGGCCCATGACCATGCACTGGGAAGGTGATCTGAATGACTCTGATCTGGGATTTTTTTTGGTGGCATTTTAAAGTTGCTCTTATAGCTTACATATTGCCTTTGCTAGTTGGCCTGGCTGTTTGCACATGTAACTTCCGTTTTGTGTCTAGACTGATGTTACCTGGTTGAGTGGGCTACTGGGGACCGTGGAAGAGGACAAACTTGGACCTTTGCCCACGCTAAAAGTATCTGTTAGCTCTGTAACAGCAGTACAAAGCAATGAGTATTGTTTTCTACTGTTGGTAGATAAAACTGATGCTTCAGGATACCTTCTGTCTCTAATTTGCTGCCTTGAAGTCATTTGAGATACTCATTCCACATGCTTGTCTTTGAGCACAGTACAGAGTATACCATTAACACCAGCATAGACCTTAAGGCATTCTCCCGAGAGCAGGTATGCCTGGGCTCTAGATCATGCACCAGAGAAGGGGGAGAGTGATCCCAGCGTTGCCAGGAGCCCTGGAGAAGGATGAGGAGCTGCCTTCCTCTGCTGGAAGGTACCCATCATCCTGCTCTCTTTCAGAGTAATGAGGATGGCCCAGGGTCTGATAGGACCCACTGTGACATATGAGTACATGTGTTTCATAGAAAAAAGGATTTGAAGGTCTTTGTTTATCAATATGAGTGTCAACATCTGTGTCTTGTTGGATTGTGGACCACAGCAAATCTCTAGCAGGTGTGCCATTGCTAAATTAAGGTAGCATGACCTGTCTGCTTCAACGTTGTATTCCCATTTAGATATCCTAAGCATTATACTAGCCCTGTTAGCTTGGGTATTACACTTAGGGATTACTTTCAGCCAATTATCCCCTTTATCCGAGTCTTTTTCTAACTAGTGTTGCTAACATTCCAACCTTTTAGGACAGGCAGGTATACGTAAGATGACAACAGAAAAATACTTTGCTGATGTTCCCAGATTCTACCAAGAAGAAGAAAAAGCAGGTTGCCTGTGGTTTTTCCTTAACTTATGCTCCATTGTGTGAAAATTTTTTTCACTGCTTTTATCTTTTTGCACTTCGCTGTAGATGTTTTAAATAATTTTATTAGGAGTACAGGCAAAGTATTGGCTGACACAATCAAATATGTAATAGGACAAATTTACACCTGATGGAAACTTAATTTTATCATGCAAAGTTATCACAGAAAGTTGTCTCTGCTTATGTCAACAAATCAGTCCTACTTCTCAGCTATCTAATTGTGCATATAATCTTTAAATATATATAGGCGTAAACATGTATGCCTATGCTCTTTTTTTTTCTCACAGACATGAAGTACTAATGAAAAACAAATCATGCTGTGGTGTAAGAAGGATGCAATTGTTTTAATAGTTACAGTATTCAAAAGTATTTGTGAAGTAGATCAATACATGTAGCTGTATAAATACATACGGCAAAGTGTTCAGCAAGGAGAAAATAATGAACTAACAATCCAGGGTTTTTTATTACTTTTTTTTTTGTGAAGAACATGGACTTTTTTTGTTGAGTTGGGCATAGGGAGGAGGGAGGAGTGGAAGAAGAGGATTTTTAGTGGTTTTGTTTGTTATGGTGTTCATAATATGCATGTCTGAGTATTCAGAAACATGGTGGCCTCAGCTGAAGTTTTCCATAAACACACTTTGGGACATCTCAGCACTTAGTACAACAGCTGAAGCTTAAGACATTTTGCTAGTGGAACAATGCATAAATAATTTTGGAATAGTCTGTGAGAGCAGTGCTTGTTTAGTGTAAATTGTGGTCTGTTGCTGCCTTATTTTACGAATTGTGAGCTAGCTCCATCACACAGAAAAAAAAAAAAAAAGCAGCCTTGTAACTACACCTACCAACAAGCTGTGACTTATGCAAGCTTTTATATTAACATCATTGTGAACTATTTTTAAAAGGAGCAAATAGACAGTGCTTCTGCATAAGCCACTACTCCTTCTGTGCTGCTCATCTTGGTTAACTCTTCCTGGCCTCTTGTTAAACGACGTCGTCTTCCACACATGCGATGTTTTGAGCATGGTTGACTTTGTCCATTGAGAAGATGCCTCAGCTTGAGATTGCTTTGTAGGCTGAAAATGTTCTCTCCTGGAAGGATCCCCGTCAGACTGGGGCTCTGCACAGGTAGCGAGAACCCGAGATCCAAGTCAAAAGTTTCTCACCTGGCTTCTGTGCTGTGCTGGGCTTGCTGAGATACGTATGCGATTGCTGACATAACCAACTGGCTGTGCTCTGTGCATGTCTTTGGTTTGAACTTAGCAGATTTGGTGACAGGCTGCTTGTAAAGTAGCTCCTGTCAAGAGTTTCTTTTTATTTTTTTTTTCTGCCCAGGAACACTTGTATGGCTGTAGGTTGATGACATTTCTTCAGAAACCTTTTCTTTTGTTTCTGAAACTACACATTTAGGACACTAGCCATGTAAAATGCGGATGAGAAGGGCAAAAGCTTCTGAAGCATTTGGTGTATTTTAATGGGAAGAAGATGAAAAACATGAAAATGGATTAACTCAGTTTTATGACAGCTCCTCAGGTTAAGAAGCCATGCATACCTGAATGATGTGTCTTAAAACTAGGCTTTGAAAATACCTCCTTTGTGCTTATTTTTGCATTTCTGAGATTGGAAGGTGTTTGTGATGGAAGTACACACACGTTCATGTTGCTTTGAGCCGTAAGAAAGATGTAACAGCCTTGACTGGCTTCCACAACAGCTGTCGAAATAATGATGATGGGTTGCTTGTGAACTTGGAGTTAGCCTGTAGGAAAATTGCTTTTAATGTGGCTGAGAACATCACAGCAGCAACCGGTGCTGTTGCGTGCAGCAAGTCTGGTCTTCACGCAGTTTTTGGGGGAGTCTGATTCACGTATGCCTCAATTCGCATCTGTGTTCAAGGCCAAATATGCATAAACCAAAAATGTTTATTTAAGATAAATGGCCTTCAGTGTCAAGACTCCCTTAACTTTTGTGCAATACTACAAAATACTGCAATACTACTACTACTTTTGTGCAATTACTACAAAAGTAATGCTTTGGTGCTGTTCTGTGGGGCAGGGCTGAGTGGATGCTGCTTCAGAGTGTGCTGGTCGTTTTTGAATGGTACACATGTACTGGTCATGAACAGCTCTAACGTTCATGTTTCCCTGACTTCAGTATATTTAAAAAAAAAAAAAAAAGGAAAAAAAAAAGCATATTTGTGTTTATCTTCTCCATTGGCTGTCATTGCTCTTATCTGTTTTAATCAGCCTGTGCTTTTAAATGGGTGCAATCTCTAGTTACCTGAACATGACCTAGCCTCAGGATGGGGACCTGTTAGTGTTACCAATCACACCCTTTTTCTGGGTGGAAACTGTGGTCTTGGAGGAATTCGTGCAGCTTGTTTTCTTTGGTATAGGTTGCAGGTAGGAAGCCCTCATAGAAACACAACCTTCTGCGCTGTTCTGGGAGACCACTTCTGGTTTCTAGCCTTTTAACTGATCTCTGGCATGAAGAGTGGTTCAGAAACTGTAGGAAAGATAATTCCTCCTTTCTGTCAGTGGTCTTGATGTACTGGCTGGTACATGACCCAGTTTTGGGATTGAGCTTCCCAGTGGGTGTGCAAGCCTAAACAATGAATTCTGAGCTTCCTGTCCCAAATCTGTCTGAAGTGGCTAATTATAACCTGATTCACAGGTGCAGTAATGAGCTGTCATTAACCTGATGATTCGTAAAGGTCAGGTTCTTCATGGGGAAGGAGTAACAGGCAGATGGCAAATAAGACATTGCCAGAGAAATGAAACAAAAAAGCACTAAGAAAGGCCAAAGCCAAACCATCCTGTACTCTTGGTGGAGCCCAGTGAGGCTGCTGTCCAGAACTCCTTCTTGTTGAGATTTTTTTTTGCCAAGAAACATGGCGAGTAATGACGCAGTGCTGCTTCTGAAAATATATCTCAGCATGTCAAAGGAAGACCCAGCCCGAAGGCTCTGACAGCCGGTGGTGGTGGGATCCCGTCTCGGCTCTGTCACCGGAGCCATTCAGGTGTGACACACCCCCAGGGCCTTTCCATGAGTGGAACAGGTTGAGTAACTGGCTCCTGCCTGTGAATGACTAAATCCTTTCTATCTAAATATGTCTTCAGCTTCAATGAAACACGGTGGTGGAGACAGATTGGATGAAAATGCCCACCGATACGGTGTAACTGTCTGATGTGTTGATGGAGGAAAACAAGACTCTGATGTGCAATAGTTTGTGCAAATTTGGTCATGTTAATTGCTGTCTGTCTTCAGAGAGACAGAGCTGGAAATGGAGGAGATGCAAGGGTGTGGGGGAAATAGTAAGGAAAGGAGGAGGGTTTAGGTGGGGAACCTGTGGTTTGTATAGAAACTGAGGAAGAATGGGACAGAAACCAGAGTTAAAGTTTAGCTAGGAAAAATAAACTAGTGGAGTTTCAAGTGGCTTTTGAAAAGTTGCTGCAAATACAGAAGCTGTGTGGAAAAGTCCTGAAAACAAGTGGCTTAAAAGCAGAAACAGTTGAATTCAGCTACTGCACACTGATAGATGTCCAGTCATAATTTATAAATCAGTAAATTATTTTTTGAAATGTTCCTTTTAGAAATGAACAAGGATGTGGAGAGCTCGTTAAATATGGGGAGTGCTTAGGAAGGAAGGGAGGTAATCAGTTCTGTAGTTTCTCCATCATACTCATTGATGTATGCTGATGTTGAGGCAGCACGCATTAGTAATGACCTTTTCCACGTGCAGTTTCCCTAGTGTACCTTCTAGAGGAGAACAGCAAGAGAGAGAACTCTATATCCATCTATATTGCTATGATCTGCCCCGTGCAGTGGGATCCCTCTTCCTGCTCTCTGTTTGCTGACCAGCGTCCCACTTGATTCCCTTCCTGAGGAGCAAAAGACGGGACCATTTGAAAGCACCTACATTGTCTAATAAATGAGGGATAATGAAATTGCACAACCAACACATTTTTGTTTAAAACATTAATCTTTTCAATCGTACAACTCCCTGTCAAGTAAAGCTTGCTGTGGCTGGTGTTCTACTGTCAGAGCTGCTGCTTCATTGGAGAAATCTTGCTGTAGGATATCTTTGTGGATGGCTGAAGACTTTCGGACTGAAGCCTGAAGTGTTCTCAAGACAGGTTGGCAGTTGGAGACTGTGGGTAATGCAAATGTAATTTGAAGCCTTGCACATGTGCAGAATGGCAAAAGCATTTGCGTTTTCCAAAATCTGTTCACTTTTAATGGATGAGAATATTATTCTTGACTCGTTTTGAAAGATGAGACCCATGATGCCTGCTTCTTACCATATATTTTTAGAACATTTTTGTCTCAGTATTTCAGACTGTTATTTAAATTTTACAAGTTTTTAAAAAGGTATTTTTAAAATTGGTGAGTATCTGTGCATGTCAAGAGCTTACAATGTAACATTTTAAATAATTCTTGGCACCTGTTCCTCTCCTTGTGAAGATGAGTAGTGTTTGACTCTAGTAACGATGGCAGAATTCAAGGTTTGTGCATTAAGCTGTGGTTTAGTTCTAGTATTGCAGTTATCAGTTTGCAGTGTGGAATCCCTTCCCTTTTCATTTATTACTGTTGGAAAAGCGGAGGCTCCCAAGAGCTTTCCTGGCAGGCATTGCAATGAATGTACAACAAAAGGCATAAGTAATGACACACGTGTGATACTAAATTATGTAGTAATTATGAAATTGAGCTGTTGGTGATGGGAACTGGCCAAAGCACACCTCCCCTTCCAGTGGATGGCATTTCCCTGGATCCTAAGTGCAATTAATATTTTGAATCTTTTGAATGGACGTAAGTTTGGTTTCCTCTTGTCGTGGTTGTATTAGCTATAGAAACCATGGAGATTCCAGTGTTCCCTTAACCTAAAGGGAATAAATTCTTCATATGTAGCATTTCATATTGTTTCCATTTCCTTTGTAGGACGGAAGAAATGCCTGCAGCTCAGCAACCTGCAAAGCCACAGACACAAGCCAACGGAACCGGTAATCTTGATCAGTTCTCTACTAGCAATTTAATTCAGTCAGATTTTTTTCACTGCTTTCTTTTGATCCTTAGAAGATCAAACCTTGCTGAAAAGCTTGCTGGATCCTTAAGCAGGGTTTCTGAAGAAGCCAAATATGAAAGACCATCTGAGCAGCTTCACACCTCTCTGTGCATGATTCTGCATTTACTTTTTGTAGTTGACTTTGCACACCTGAGTGAGGAATTTATTGTGTATTGTAAAGCCTTTAGGAACGTAATGAAACCTGTTGCCTGATTTTATCATTCTTGCATGCCTTGCTGATCCTTGACTTACCAGAAAACAGGTGTAATACATAGAAAAGGTGTTCTGTTTTGTTCTCATCTGCAAAAGCTCTTTCATGCCATTAACCATATTACTTCTTCCTTTTTCTAGAAGGAATAAGCTTAAGGGTTACTCATTTTTTTGGACACCTACACTGTCATCTACATTTCTCAAGCTGCTGCTTATTATTAATTCAATAATGTAGTGATTTCTGAAGGAACTAAGGCAACAGGCAGATTCTCACTCTTTCAGTACACTCAAGCTTTCCTCTCCACACCTCTTGATTGAGACTTAGGCTTTTAAATCTGTGAATTAAATTTGAAGTTACTCCTCCTGTGCTCCCATAATGTCAATACTTTGTTATGTGAACTACAACCTGTCATTTTTTCTGCCTTGTGCACTCAAAATTTCTTTCTCAGTACTTTCTAAAGTATTAGCATGTGGGAAGCTACCTCATAGATTTTTATTTGCAAATGGAAGTGGTGTCTCAGCTGTAAAACATCACTAAATTTCTTGTTTTTCTAGATATCAACTGCCATTCATTAATAAATAGTTTGATTCTGTTTTCTGAACGCCAGTTGCTTTTTGTCACATGCTTAAAAGCATCATTTTGGCTGTTGTATTAATATTTCATGCCTCTATTTAATTATATCTTAATTTTATGGAGTTCTGTACTAAGTTTGGTTCTGGAACAGTTGTGACCAATGTCCTCATCGTGACACTGCTGTACTGACCTACCTTTCCAAAGAATAGTCTGTCTGTTCCTTCTACACAGTGTTTTTCTGAGTTACAGCTGAAGGAAAAGGTGATTGTTTTGTTCTCACCTGTGCTGCCTTAAGGCTTTTACTGTTATATTGTTTCCATATACCCATGTATATATGTTTTATATTTCCGCTGAAACTGACATAAAGCAAGTGTGCATCGCTTCAGTACTTTGCCATTTAAGACTTTCCAGGCAGTATTATGACTATGTATTCCATATATAGAAAGTGGCATGTACAGCATAGTTTCTGTAGCCTGGCTTTAGAAAAAAGAAAGTGCACATTATATATATACACACATGCGCACACACTCTTTGCAGCCTATAAATGGTTGGAAAGTGGTAGTAAAAATGCCTCTTGCAGAATCTTGCTGAAGTTTCCACCTCCCTTTCCTGTCAAATGCATGTGACTGCGAGGTGGTTTTCCTGCTCAGGAGTGCTTTACTTTACACTTGATTTTCTCCAGGTGGACCCTTCAGCACAATGGGAGCGTTGAGATTTATGTCAGTCTTTTGTTTACAGGAACCTCTTAACCGGAAAATGTTTTTACAGTGTTTGCTAAAAATTCTCGTTTGTTAGGATGTTTAAGTAATCTCTGTACTTCTGTAATAAGATGCTTCCATGTGCTGTATGTAGCACAAAGCACAAGTCATCTTTAGTCTTATTTTACCAGCTTAGTGCAGTCAGGGTTTCTGTGCAATGGCAGCAGTAAATTGCATAGTGAGTTTCCATGAAGAGCGTTGGTGAAGGATGGGAAAGCTGTACCAGCCTGCTTCCCAACAAAGCACGGCGTGTGGGAACAGGGGCAGACTTTGGATGAAGATGTCTTCTGGTATTATCCTGATACTTAGTGTTTGGGGGTTTGGTTGTGTTTTTTTTTTCTTTTTTAATAGATAAGCGTAGTCACACAGTCTGTTCAAGACTCCAGAAGTGGTTTTGTGACAAATTTGGGGAGTATGTTGAGGACTTCAGATTTCAGCCAGAGGAAAATACAGTGGAAACAGAAGAGCCACTTAGTGCTAGAAGGTAAATCTCTAATGTGATTGTGAAAAATTGTTGGCTTCTTTACGAGTTGCTTTTTTCCTTTTTTTTTTTTTTTTTTTCAACCTTTTACATAGTTTGGCAAGTGTTTGCGTAACAAGTAATACAACTGAAAATACAGAACCATCTAAAAACATTTGGGAATGCTTTGGCCAAAACATGAAATTTGAAGTCTATCTGCTGTCTGAGGTAGAATAAGAGTTGTATTATTAACCAGGTTCTGTGGTATATGCCTCTCAAAAACTGTGGACAAAATCTTAGTTAGGCTGGAGAGCTTTTACGTTTCAGTTTTTGGTCTGATGCAAGGTAGACTTTATTAGTTACTAGAAACACATTTCATTACAGCCAAGAATGAAGCCTCTAATTTATAACTGTGAGCTGTATTTCAGGGACCAAATGTACACAACTGTGCACTACTTGCCTATGTAACAAGTTGTTTTTATCCATTATTTTTCAGGTTGACTGAAAATATGAGAAGATTAAGTAAGTACTTAGCAGTATTTTATTTTGTGGAAATAAAAGTAGTTCTTAGTAACTCTATTAGGAGATTTGCTGAAATTTAAAATACAGTGTTTTGAAATGTTTCTGCCAGTTCCTAAGCAGAAATGATTCTGAAATCCTGAATTAGTGTTCAAAGTAGCTTAGAGGAGCAATGGTAGAAGCTTGCCTTTAGTCTTGAATTACATAGGGTATCTCTGAACTAAAAATGTAATGTTAATTAAACATGTGTCGTGGTTTAGGCCAATCCGGCAACTAAACTCCACACAGCCACCCTCTCACTCCTTCTCCAGTAAAGTGGAGAGGAGAAAAATATAATAAAAGAACTGAGGGTTGAGACAAGAACAGAGAGGGAGCACCCACCAACCATGGTCCTGGGCAAAACACTCAGTTTCTTAAAGCAAAACAATTTATTAGCAGTTACTTAAAAAGGACAAAGGGAAACAAAACCAGTTACTTGAGAGGATAAAAAGAAACGAAGCCAGATCTTAAAACCAACACCTTCCCCCTCCCCGCCCCCCCTTTCCTTTTCTTCCCGGCTCTACC